CAGAGTGCTTATCTCTTTGTTTATGTGGCTTGCAGCCAACGAGAGTCTGGACTGATTAAAAAACATTCTCATTCGTTCCTGGACGGAGAAGGGGGGGGGGTCAGAACAAGAATGCACTTGGGAGATGGAGGAAATGGAAAAGCTGAATAAGAGGCAGCTTAGAGCTTAGGTCACCAACTGGTGGTCCCATTCCAGATGAGCTGCTGGCCGTTGCAAAGTGACACAATACAATGCAGCATACACCATCCCATCCAGGGACTGTTTCCCAAACAACTTGTTAGAATCGAACTGGGCTCACAAAGATAAACCAGGAGAGGAAAGTGGAAACAAGGGGAAAGTTAACCATACGCTTTGCGCGCGAAAATCCCAGATCCGGTTTTTGCCTTCTTCTGCAACCACCTGGCTTTCGTAAAAGTATACTTTTGGCTAATTTTGGACACCGAAATTATTTCTTTTCGAAACTGACTGATTTGGGAGGGTTGACAGTTCTTTTTAAGGTTTTGTGTGTTTTAATCTTTGCCTGCCCCTGAGCAAGCGAAATACGGCAGCCAAAGAATGATGAGATGAAAGAATCGGATGAGATGAGGACAACGAGAAGCGGATACATCACTTACGAAGCCTAATGATTTCACTTTGGTCTTGTGATGTTGGAGGAACTTGCTCTCCTCCGGGGACCAAAGATCTCTTTTGTGTTAGCCCTACAATCACATTCCTTTCTATTCACATCCCTTTCTTCCAGGAACAATAGAGATTCTGTGGCCCATCAGACAATGATCCTCGTCACTTCTTACCATCCTCTACAGCAGCCCAAAGATAACATTGTGCTCTTCAAATTTGAGCTGAATCTGGGCATTGAGTGTTGGGCACATTGATTTGTTGAACCAGTTTTGGCTGGGCAGAAGGGGGCGTAAGTTGCTTTCTTCCCATGCAGAGAAGGGGGAGCTATTTGAAAACGGGCAGATAAAGGAAGAAGTGGAAGAGAGAGAAAAAAGCCATGAAAATAACCCAGAGCAAGAAAAAAAGCAAATTGCAAACAGTTGCACATTCTTAGCTCTCCTTCCAGGTTTGAAGGGGATCTGATCGAAGTAGATTTAAAGGAAAGGCAAGAAGGGACGTTCTGTTTAACGGATCTGGAATTTAGAAAAATAACCAAAGATTTGCGTAGCTATACATGCACACATGCACTATGGAGGCACAATCACTAAATTCTGCCTTTGAAACCCAAAGCATCTTGCGTTAGCACCCCGGTTTCTATCTAGCAATAGCAATAGCAGTTAGACTTATATACCGCTTCATAGGGCTTTCAGCCCTCTCTAAGCGGTTTACAGAGTCAGCATATTGCCCCCAACAACAATCTGGGTCCTATATCTATCTATCTATCTATCTATCTATCTATCTTCTATCTATCTATTTATCATCTATCTATCTATCTATCTATCTATCATCTATCTATCTATTTATCATCTATCTATCTATCTATCTATCTATCATCTATCTATTTATCTATCATCTATCTATCTATCTATCTATCTATCATCTATCTATCTATTTATCATCTATCTATCTATCTATCTATCTATCAT